TCCCCAGGCCTGCCCCCCTCAGCCACTGAGTAGCTGGGGAACTGTTGCTCCCACAGGATCCCTGCTCCACAGCTGGGGGCAGGCAGCAGCAGTAACGCCTCCCCCAGGCCTTCAGGCAGCGCCACAGCCGGGCACAGCCCTCCCGCAGGCGCCTGATCCTGGACTTCTTGGTGATGGGGCCCTGGGGCTGCAGCCTGTCCTGCTGCACCTCCTGTTTCATCTGCCCCGCCATCCTGCTGGGAGGGAAGGAGGGTCCTCCAGGGAGGATCTCACTAGGGGCCCCCAATGTCTCTTGGCGCTTGCGGGACCGCCTGCAACATTCATGTTCATCATCATATGTGTTCGTGTAGGTTTCCAGGAGTTGATGCCACATATGTGTTGAAATCGGTATAGGGCTGTTGCGGGCCTTCTGTATATCAGCAGGGCTCATCTGCGCTTCCTCGGGGATCTCCTCGTCCGTGGCTTCCACCAGCAATTCCAGGCTGGAGATGTCCGTGGAAATGCTGATGCTCATGATGCGGCTCGGGGCACGGGTCTTGGGTGCAGGTACATCCGCCACGGTGTCAGTTTCATTCGTTGATTCCACTGGCACCTGCAGCTCCTTCTTTGGTGCCTCTGAATTCTGCATGGGCAGGGAATGCTCTCCAACCACAGGGCTTCTGGGCACGGTGGAAACAGAGCACCTGGAAGCCTGTGGGGTCTGCAGCTCCCTCTTGGGCACCTTTCTGCTGGCCCTGCAGAGGAGCAGAAGAATTAGGCTCCACTGCACCCCAGTCCCTCCATTAGGGGGCCCTTGGGCAGCAGCTCTTCATTTCCTGGGGGACAGGGATGCCCTAAACAGAAATGTTCAGGCATGGGGTGAGGGTTTGGGGCAGGACCTGGGGATTCCCACTGTACTAACCACCTTTTCCTGGTCAGCACACTTTTCTTCTCTGCTCTTGCCTTGGCAGAAACTGCTGAGGGAGGAGACAGAGTGAGGAGCCAGCAGCCCCCAGCACATGCCAGGTCAGGGCTGCCGTGGGTGGGGAGCTCAGTGCCAGGGCCACTCACCAGTCTGCTCCTCCTGCCTGGCTCTCCTCTTGCTCCTCTTGCTTTGTTTGCTCGTCAGCTTTTCCATGACTTCTGCAAGTGTCCCCTACCTGGAGCCCCCTGATCCTAAAGATGGCAGTGATCAGGGTGAGCTGCAGCCTAAGAAGTGCCAATGGGAGCATCTTTCAGTGCCCCAGCCCCTGTCTGGTCTGGGCAGATCCAAGGGCTGGGACTTCATGGCAGGAGGCAGTGGGGGCATCTGTGGGAAGGCCACAGTCTGCAGGACAGGGCACCTGGTGTTTCTTCCCAGGGGAGGGAGAACCACCTTGTCCATGTCTACGCCCACCCCCGGCAGCTCCGCTCCAAGGCCCTGGGGCCACAGTGGGGCCTCCAGCAGCCCTGGCTGCTCCTGCACCTCCATCCTGCTGAGGGCTCAGGGGAAGGGCTCCCTGGGCACAACCACCCCAGGCCCCTGCCGCCCCTCACCTCCCAGCCACCTCTGCCTGCAGCAGCAAATCAAGCCTTGCACTCCAGTTGGAGCAGCCCTCAGCTTGCCCTCTGGCCAGGCCTTGCTACACAGCGCTCCTCTCCATTGCCAGCAGCTTGCAATGCCTGAAGGGGCCTCCAGAAAAAATGGTGACAGCCTTTTTAGCAGGGCCTGATGCCACAGGACAAGGAGGAATTGTCTTCAAAGCAAACAGGGCAGACTCAGAGCAGAGAGAAGGAAGGCACTTTTTACACTAGGGGTGGTGAAACACGGGAACGTGTTGCCCAGAAAAGGGGTGGGTGCCCCATGAAATACTGAGCTCCCCTGCAGGATTTCTGTACGAGGACATGCAGCTTGGCTGCAATCCTGGACCTGCTTTGTGAGCAGCAAGCCCCAGCCCAGCAGTGCTGTGTGTTCCCTTGGGAGGCTTTAGAGCAGCTTCTCCTCCAGGAATTGGAACCACACAGCAACTCAGAAGGGAATGATGCACACAAAGACAATGCCTGGAACCTGCTATCCTGATTTATGCATCCATCACACCTGGCAGGTTCAAAACCATATGGTGCTCTGTTCTCCTTCACAAGGAAACACTACTGGACTCTCTCACACAGCAGTTCTGCCACTGCTCTCTCTCACGCTGCTTCATTTGTCCGTGGCTGCCTTGCAATTTCTGAGCAGAATCAAAGATAAGCTCAAAGGTGAGGCTCCCAGGAGAGTCAAAACAAGCTGCAGCTCCTGGCACTGCCAAGAGTTTCTTTCTCATCTCAGACCTTTACGGCTCCTACTCCGAAGTGGAAATGATAGCCCAGAAATTCTTGACATAACTTCAACTTTTTGATGTGACGCGTTTTCCTCAGAAAGTCTTCGAGGACCTAATAACCCTTAGGCTTTTTCTAATCCTCCTCCATGTCACTATTCCTACCATAATTGGATTGACAACAGCCCTAAGGACAAGGAGTTGGGGCTGCTGGCTGATGTTGATGCTCAACCTGAGCCAGCCGTGTGTGCTTTCAGGCCAGAAAGCCAGTCGTGTCCCAGAACCCACCTGCAGTGCTGTGTCCAGTTCTCAGGCCTCCAACACAGGAAGACATGGAGCTCCAGGAGCCAGTCCAGAGGGCCAGGAAGATGATCGCAGGGCAGGAGCACCTCTCCCATGAAGACAGGCTGAGAGTTGGGCTTGTTCAGCCTGGAGAAGAGAAGTCTCCGGTGGGAGCTCAAAGTGGCCTTCTGGTACCTGAAGGGGCCACAGGAAAGCTGGGGAGGGACTTTTGACAAGGGCACAGACTGACAGATCAAGGGGAATTGCCTTTCGACTGGAAGAGGGGAGATGTAGGTTAGACACGAGGAAGAAAGTCTTTTCTGTCAGACACTGGCCCAAGTTGCAGATGCCCCCGCCCTGGAAGCATTCAAAGCCAGGCTGGCTGGGTCTTGGAGCAGCCTGCCCTTGTGGGCGGTATTCCTGCCCATGGCGCGGGGGCTGGCAAGAGAGGATCTTCAAGATCCCTTCCAAGCCAAACCATTCCCTCATCCTACAACCATTAGAGAAATGTGAAGTGAAAAATAAATCGATCACATCCATGGACATTTTAGCAGCTCTCATCTCACTGATCAGCCTGGGGCTGCAAAATACAAATCTAGAACTCAAAATCGGCCTCTAGCAGCCACTTCAAAGATATCTGACTTGCAGCAGGGAAAGATTCCCCAAAGATTTCTCTTTGTTGCACTTTCACACAGGAAAGTTTAAGTACCCAGAGATCAAGCTCAGTAGCGTCTTCACGCCAAAAGGAGGGAAACACTGTTGTGCCATTGATGTGAGCAGGGGACAAGAATGTCAGTTGTCCCCTGAGGGAAAGAAGTTACAGGCTGAAGACCAACAGGGAAAACACTGGCATACCCTTGGTTGTCCCCCACCCTTCAGCATGAGGCAAAGAAAGAGAACCCTGCATTTGTTTTGCTTACAAGTAATGACCCCCAAACATCAGGCAAGTATCCAACATTTGCAGCACTTTCCATCTCACAATTCCTTCCCCTTCAAACGCAGCTTCCAAAGGACTTTCCTACGACTGTACGTGCAACTCTGCTTTCTTGTTGCAGCCAAGCTCATTGATTGAAGAAACCACGGAGGGAAACAGTTTCCAGGGGGTTTAATTTTAAATACATTTCAAGAGTAATACAAAAGTTACAAGCTTGTCTATACAGACTAATACTTGTTTGCTTTCCCTCAAAATTATGCCGTGCAGTTAGCTGCTGCCCTTTGCAGGCAGCACTGTTTAGAAAGCACTTCAAAGGGCACCATTTCAGCTTATGTTTTCCAGAAGAGAGGATTCTGTGTCAGACGTCTCTGGAAGTTCTCATACCTAGGAAAAATAAACAAACAAAACCCAAAAGCTGTTGCAAACAAAATGGCTTAAAAAATGATACACATAATTTCAACACTATCTTTTTCATCAAAGTGGAATCCCAGAGAATGTTCATGCAAACTTAGTAAAATTTTAAGTGGATGCAAAGCAGCTGTTCTATGTATCACATTTTTTGGGCCAGCAAATCAAAGTTTGGACAGGTAGAAGGGCCACTTGGAGGCTGCCCACCACCCTAGTCATCAGGCCAGGTATCTCATGGGAGAAATCCCAGCAAAACCAAACCAGGAGAACTTCAAGCTGTTTAGGGATGGGTCACAATACTGGGAAAAACAAGGGCTTCTGCATCCAGTTCAGCAGTCCCTGTACCAGCCTTCCAGTGCTGCTCCATCTAGGAGGCACAGAGCCAGCTCAGCACTTCTCAGCTCACAGCACAGCAGACCTGAGCTGGCCAGCTTGACAGACCAGCATGGCAGGCTTGCCTGGAGACCACAGCCTCCAACTCAGCTTTGCTGCCCAGCAGGCTTTGTGTGACCTGCTCACAGGACGGGAAGGGGGCCCTGCAGACAATGTCAAGCAGTTGGCCTTCTAGTGCCAGTAGGAACACCTTGAGACAAAGTAGTCCCCATCATTTTCCTTCCATCACCAAGTAATTCCTCCTTCCACCTTCCATCATGTTTGACTACAAATCTAACGAGGACAAAGAACTCTCAACACATAATGCACTCCCCTATGCATACATGCTGTTCCAGTTTCACCTTCCAAACTCACAGAAATAAGCGAACCCCAAACGAAATTTAAGATCAGATTTCATTATTGACCTCCCCTGAATAAAGAGGGAAAAAGCATCCACAGAGCCACAGAACCACAGGGATGGAAGGGACCTCATCAAGGGCTGATCATCTAGTCCAACTCCCTTGCCAGAGCAGGGTCCCTAGAGTAGCTCACACAGGAACGTGTCCAGGTGGGCCCAGAACTGGACACCATATCCCAGATGTGGCCTCATCAGGGCAGAGTAGAGGGGGAGGAGAACCTCTCTCCACCTACCAGCCACACCCCTTCTAATCCACTCCAGGATGCCACTGGCCTTCTTGGCCACAGGGGCACATGGATGGCTCATAGTCATCCTGCTGTCAACCAGATCTGACTTTCAAACCAAAACCAAAACAAGCCCAGGGGCTTGGAGCAATGGAAGGCTAAAAACCCCTTTCAATCCCCACAAACCCAAGCTGTAAGGGGACATGAGGCACTGCTAAGGAACCAAGAAAAACAGCAAGATGTTTCTCCTACATCTTACAGTTCCTAACCCAACTCAAATGAGAAAAGAGACTCTGAAGCCTTTTCAACTCATTCCAAAGAATGAAAGGCTTTTTCTTGAATTTCTAAGCCAAACTGAGCTGTTTCCAGGGGCTGTAATCACATTAAGAGGTTTCTAGACAAAAGCTGTTCAGTTTGTTAGAGTTGTGCCTCACTGGACTATAGTGGTTTGAACCAGCAAAAGCAAATTTGGCATCAGCCAGGCACTGACCAGCCATTACCCTGCTCCTTTGGCCTGTCTTCCCTTTCATTCCCTCTCATCAGAGACCTTTCCCAGATGTCCATGGAGAGCACAGAGTTACCTTCTAAATAGTAGGGATCTGCACCAACCACAAAACTGTATTCAGAGACCCCAAATTACTGTGAGTTGATCAACTCTAGGCAAGAATTTTTCAGACATCCTAAAGGACTGCCTGCAGCTCACAGCGTATCTCCAGATTACACGGGCTGTCCCCACAGTCAGCTTCTTCTTAAACCAGGCCCTGGAAAACAACTTGCAAACATACTTTTGCCTTTGTGCCTGAGGGTCTTGGTGACAGGACCAGGTCAACTGGATATGTGATTTCTCCACCTCTCCCATATTCTTATCAGTATGCTGGAACTTGGTCTAGGAAGAGACCAAGCATAACAACCAAATTCAGATGGACAAGGATCGGTGTGTTCTGCCCTCCCAGGAATCCAGAGCATTTGTCTCATCAGCAACATCGTGGAAGTTCACACATGGCAAGGGCAACACTTCTGGAGGCAAGAAAATGTCACAGGCCATACAGCACATTTCAAACACAGCGAGTGAGATGAAGATGCTACAAATAGCTACAAGAAGATTGGACAGGACCTCCCTAGACTAGGAGATCAACAACAACAAAACACTTTCCACTTTGCTGCATCACATGACAGTAGTTCCATACTTAGAACTCAGTTGCCCTAATGCCTTGGAAAAAGAGCTCTTGCCACTAGAGATCATTGCCATTACCATTTCAGAACTACGTTTGCAGGAATGAAAGCTTCCGAGGGATTTGGGGTCATCTGTGCCTGAGTAACAGCAAACGAGGAAGCAAAGTTATAGAAGTTATCCAACATCTTCTGAGTGAACTGAAAGAAAAGAGAGAGATTTGCAGTCAGTTCTTTTCTCAAGTTGAGCTTTTCTGCCAAGACTTAACAGATACACAACTGCTATGTGAATTAAAATCAGCACTGTCATCTAAAACACAATGGGGAAGTGGGGATAGTAGGTGCAGGGATGCCCACTGCAAATGGCTCAAAGCATCCTCACTCTCAGTCTTTCCCTCAGATCCATCCAGCATCCAGGAATCACTTTCAGAATCTTCACTCACCCTCTCCCTGCCCAATTTCATCTAACTGCATAACCAGCTCTGGGAAGAACATTTTCTTCTTCTGACAAAGACGTGGTGCAGTGACAAGGGCTGTCCCTCTCTCCTCCAAAGGAACCCATCAGGAGAACTGATGGTCAGAGCTGCCATTCCACCTCACAGCAAAACACTGGCTGTTCAACCAGGGGAGAAGTCTTGCGCTTTGCCTCACTACCACCTGTCAGATTCCAGCAACATGGAAACTCCCTTTGTCAGCAGACTGACAATGACACGAGGGAGGCCATGGGCCTGATTCCCTTGAACGTGCACAATCCAGTTGTTGACAGCACCAAGTTTTCCAGTGTAAGAAAAGTAATTTCAAAATATCAAAGCAACCAGGCAAGTGATTTGACAATGATTAGGTTTGTTACAACCCTACAGCCACCCACAGCAGGTGGGCTGTCTTTAGTTAGTTCTTCAGAGGCTCAACTCTCTGCAGCCTTTTGTGCCACAGAGAAACTCTGAAAACAGAATGTCCAAGCTACCTCCGTGAAGGAATCTACTGATGACACAGCAGCATTTGCAACAGGAGTCTGCTGGGCCAGGCTCTCCAGCAGTTCCACTGAGATTCCAATCTGGGCCACCGTTGGCGTCTGAGGGAGGTTCATGGCTCCAAAGGGATGTTGACTTCCCTTCCCTGAAAGTGCCACAAACAGCACACAGTACATTTAGCACACAGGGAAAGACTGTGGCAATGAAATCTCTTTCTTCTGGAGAAGCTCTGCCTCAACTCCCTGCCTCGGAAATACAGCACAATCATGCAGTTCAGGCACAGGCACAAGGACACACACACACCAGAGGAAACAGAGTGACAGGTACATGTAAAAAACACAGCTGATCTTGAGGAAATTTCTAAAAAAATGAAAAACATAATTTTAAACTCTATATGAAGTAAATGGGTTCATGAGGCAGTATGATCACTAAATGATGGGACTGTCAGTGTTGGAAGGGATCTCTAGAGATCATCTGGTCCAACTCCCCTGCTAAAGCAGGATCACCCACAGCACATTACTCAAGACTGCATCCAGGTGGGTCTTGAATATCTCCAGAGAAGGGGACTCCACAACCTTCCTGGGCAGCCTGTCCCAAGGCTCTGTCACCCTCACCATAAAGAAGTTTTTCCTCTCGTTTAAATGGAACTTCCTGTGTTCCTGCTTGTGCCTGTTGCCCCTCATCCTGTCACTGGGAACTACTGCCAAGAGCCTGAATCCACCATCACTGCACCCACCCTTGAGATACTTGTAGGCATTAATAAGGTCTCCCCTCAGCCTTCTCTTCTCCAGGCTGAACAGTCCCAGCTCTCTCAGCCTTTCCTCACAAGGGAGATGCTCCAATCCCCCAGTCATCTTTGCTGCCCTTTGCTGGACTCTCCCCACTAGTTCCCTGTCTCTCTTGAACTGGGGAGCCCCGAACTGGATGCAGTACTCCTGATGTGGCCTCACCAGGGCAGAGTAGAGGGGGAGAATGTAATCTCTTGACCTCTTGGCCACATTCTTCCTTATGCACCCCAGGATTCCATTGGTCTTCATGGCAGCAAGAGCACGTTGCTGGCTTATGGATACTTTACTATCTACCAGGACTCCAAGATCCTTCTCCTCAAAACTGCTTTCCAACAGGACCTGTACTGGTGAATGGGTTTCTTCCTCCCCAGCTGAGGACCCTACACTTGCCCATGTTGAACCACATTGGTTTATTCTCTGCCCAGCTCTCCAGCCTGTCCAGGTCATGCTGGATGGCAGCACAGCCCTCTGGAGTGTCACCACCCCTGCCAGTTTGGTATCAGCAGCAAACTTGCTGAGGATACACTCTGTCCCCTCGTTCAGGTCGTTGATGAATATGTTGAACAACACCAGAGCAAGTATTGACTCCTGGGGGACACCAGTGGTTACAGGCCTCCAACTCAACCCTGCTCCATTAATCACAATCCTCTGAGTTCTGTCACACAGCCAGCATCTGTGTCACAGCACCTGATCTGTGAGTAAAAGACAGCAGCACCTTCCCCTACAGGAACCAACCCTTTAATTCACATTCTAACCACTGCAGATGGACTGGAAACATGCAGCACTGCTGCACAGCCACTGAGCCCTTCCTTCAAAGCAGGAGCTTGCAAACCTGTTTGTGCGATGAAAAGACACAGCACATGACTTCAGGAAGCTGCCCCTGTGAAGGGCTGGGCAGCCCCATGTCTCATCTGAACAGCTCAGACCAACCCCAGCCCTGATGAATGGCACAACCACAGATCAGAAAGGCCTCTGGCTTTGCAAGAGCCAGAAAGAAGACAAGGAATTGGGCAGACAAACACTCCCAAGCTCACTCCAAGCACCAGCACAGCACACGTGTCAGAAAGCACCTTGTTTTCTCAGCCTGGAGGGCAGGACCACAACCAGCACCACTGTTCTGTTGCCCCTCATGCAGAGCATTTGCCATATTCCTAAATCACTCCTGGCACTTCCATGAGGTGTTTGATGGTTAAATTCAGGCTTTCTGAATCCTAACTACCAATTCTGACTGAGGGGACAACCACACAGAGTTCATAGTCATATTGCCAGCAAACGTGAAGATTGCACCCAAAGAGAAAAAACAGAATTCAGATTTCATGCTTATTTCAAAGCCAGCCAACATCTCACATAACAGCTAATTCTCCCAAAGAAACATGTGACAAGGGCTGGATACTCTGGACCTTTGATCCTTGAGGTGTAACCAGTATGGGCAGACTTTGCTCACTTAAACAGAGGATGGCACAAAAGAGATTGCATCCGTGTTACAAAATTATATTTCCTCATAATTGTAAATGAACCGATTCCAAACATAACCTATCAAAAACTGACACAACCTAAACACACCATTCCAGCTCACATTAAGTAACAGGCAGCCTCTTTATTAAATTAGGCTTTGTAGAGTCTGCAGTAAAGGAAACCTCTGCATCCTCATACTGCCTGCCCCGACCAAGTTAGGAGTACCTGTGCAACCTCTGTGCGTCTCAGGATGGCATCTCTCTGCAGTCCCTGTCTGGCCTCCCCTTCCAACAGCCTCACTCTTCTCCCTCACACAATCCCTGGTGTACACTGATGTATACGACTGCTGCCCAGTCAGATTTCACACTAAGCTGTCTTAAAATGTATATAATACAGCAGTAAGTCTTGCAAGCATAAGAACACTCAGGAAACCTGGCAGAAGAACCTGCGATACCCTTAACTGTTTCACTAACCCCACAGTGTCAGGTTATAAAAAACCACACCCAAAAAACCACTTCCTGCGGCTGTTCCCCCTTGTGAAGAAAGCCCAAATTACTGAGGAACGTCAATGATCAGAATTCATTTTGCTCTGCACCTTAAGAGGCATTATGTCAAGCCACACTGCCATCCAGGACACAGGCAAAGGAAAGCCTGCCAGGTCAGCAATTAATACATTTGATCACATCAACCTCCTACTCACCTAGAGACTCAAGTACAGGCTGCAGACTACACTGAAGCCTATAAAAGATATGTATTACTTATCACTGCAACACTTGAAGCTGCTTGACCAACGTATCTGTCTCTTCAACAAGACAAAGGTCTGCCATTGGGATGCCACATAATTTTTATAATACGCATGGCAAAACCCCCTACATCTAGGAAAAAAACTCCACATCTACTTCAGGTAGCACCAGCACCTTCAGAATCCCCTACAAGTCAGACTCTCTGGTTCAGGTCTACACCAGAAATGCCAGAACATTTGGAAACTCCCCTACAAGTCAGATTCTCTGGTTCAGGTCTAGTCTACACCAGAAATGCCAGAACATTTGGAAAACTGCTTTCCAGTGATGATACCCTCTCCTGGAGAATGACATAGTGCAACAGCACCTGCATGGGAGGGGCTGCCTGAAATCACACAACTGTCATGGTTGGAAAAGACTTCTTAGATCACTGCACCCAACTGTCACCCCCATGCCTCCTAAAAGTCAAACAAAAAACTCCCAACAAACAAACCACCATGCCCACTAGAGCATGTCCTGAAGTGTCTCAATGACATGCTGCTTAAATACCTCTGGGGATGGTGATGCCACCACCTCCCTGGGCAGCCCATTCCAGCATATGACCACTCTTCCAGAAAATAAATTCTTCCTGATCTCCAGTCTAAACCTCCCCTGGCACAACTTCAGGACATTTGCTCTAGTCTTCATATTTCTTGAGAGAAGAGACCAACACCAACCTCCCTACAACCTCCTTTCAGGAGGTTGAACAGAGCGAGTAGGTCCCTCCTCAGCCTCTTCCAAACTAAACAATCCAGTTCCCTCAGTCTCTCCTCACTGGGCTTGTTCTCCAGCCCCTTCACACCAGCTCTGTTGCCTTTCTCTGAACTTGGTCCAGCCCTTCACTGTCCTTCTTGCAGTGAGGGTCCTAGAATTGAAAACAGTTCTCACAGTGCAGCCCCACCACTTGACTGATTGTCTGGAAACCCTGCCCTAAACTGTCCTTGTTACAAAACCTGTCCCTATGCTACAAAGAACACAGTGACCTCACAGTGGGAGCTGAAAGAAAATGCTGCAGGCATGTCCAGACAAAGGCCTAAAAACCACCTTACAGGGTGATTCTTCCTCACAGTCTCAATGCAGAAGCAGCACTGGAACACATACCAGGCCTGCTGAAAGGAACTTCCAGGGCAACACCACAAGAAAGAGAAGATGAGAGAAATTTCACTAGAAACATTAACATACAGACTGACTTCCACAAAGCTGCCAGGCTGCTCGTAGTACCACATCTGGGAGAGACCACCTGAAAACACACAGAGGTCTGCCTTTTCAAGCAGCTTTTTGCTCAAAACCACCTTCAAACATGCATGCAGGAACATCTCTGCTTCACTGACCACTACATTTTACCAGTCTTACCAGATTTCAGACCAGAAATTTTGAAGATGGCACTTGGCTTCTCATTAGTGACAAACCCCAGCAGCTGCCACACTGCCAGCCCGCTTGGGTCCGGGTAACAGAAATAGACAGATCCTCCCATTCCTTCTGGAAATGGTATCGTTCCCAGCATGAAGACCACTACATGGTTGATGTTCTCATAGTCCGGTAAATCAAACACAAATTTGTCTTCAGCCACTTGCTGGGGAGCTGCTTGTACCTAAAGAGAACAAAGCCTTGATTAGCATTACTGTGCTTTCAAACTTTGACTGTGACTGTGAATTTCCTTTCACAGAAATACACCTAAAGTGGAACATCACAAAAAGCGAGGAACGTACTAACCTCAAGAGCAAACAGCCCGATAAAAATCAAGCACAGCAGAAGAACAACTGCAAAAAGTATTACTGAAAAGGCACAACAGTCTTGTTCTACCTGCACTGAACGTATATCCCACCCGGGGCTACAGCATCAGAATTCCTTCGCTCCCCATGTGCGTAGGAGGAAAATAAGGTGCAGAAGAGGTTGCCAAGTCCATAAGCAGTGGCTGTTGACCACCTGGCTGGCACAACCCCAGGACCATGGACACCTGTTCACATAGGAAATACAATAGACCTTGAGACAGGCAGCAGAAGGACGGCCAAACGCCAGAGCAAAAGATACCCTCCTCTTTACCCGAGATGTCACATCCTCGCAGCCAACGCACAATCTAGCCTTAAAAAGCTTCTTTTAAGCTCCTCTACGAGGAGCCCAAGCCCCTCCATGAACAGAGGGGGCGGTGACTGCCTCCCGGCAACGGGGCTCTACAATGTCCCGGGGGCTGAGGGGCAGGAGCCGGCCCAGGGGCAGGAGCCGGCCCAGGGGCAGGAGCC